CAGATCTGTTTGTTTGCTCCCCAACCCACAGCCATGGGTGGATAGCTCAAGACATCACCTCCCCATCAGGTAATCCTGAACTCCCTCTGCTCCCGAGAAGGGCTCCCAGCAATGGTTTCTCCACCCTGCTTCCAACCTCCAGGCATGGGGCTGGAACTCAGGATATTTTCTCCAGGAGGGGACCAAAAAGTGTCCTGACACTCGTCCCCATACCTCAGCCTTGGGATCAGTTAGTTACTCAGGAATCTCCCTTTCCTAGGAGATGACCCAGGAGCCCCCCAGTGACCCCATAGGGGCCCCAAGTATTATTTTTGCCCCCACCCCCACCCCACCTAGGGATTAGAATTCAGGATCTGCTATCCAACTGGGCAAACAGGTATAACACTTGTCCCTACTCACCTAGCTAGGGGTCCATGGATCTCTCTGTGCCCCAGTGGGTCCCACCTTATCCCCCCCACCCCACCCCACCCAGCTTTAGGAACTGGCATTTGGATACACAAGTGTTTTGATAGTTATTCCCACCCCTGAGCTGTGAGGTCTGGCATTCCAGTCACCTCTTCCCCAGCAAGCAAGCAAGCCAGAGGTGCCCCTGCCCTCCCCCAAGGAAGCAAGGGGAGTACCAGATGTTGTGTCCCCCCCCCATCCCCCAGATATAAGCTTCAGAGCTCAGGATGCTTCCTCTCTGTGAGGCAAGCCAGAGGTTGCCCTTGCTACTAGGAACCCCCAAATATGTCACCCCCGACTACGGGACTGGAATTCAGGCCATGTACTTAGGAGCAAGCACAGGAACCCAAGCACTCACCCTCTTCCCCATGAGGGGACCCCAGTCAAGCAGGTAGGAACCCTGGACTCTCTCTCCTCCACAGGACCCAAGCTTCCCACCAGAGGAGGAGACCAAGATGGAGAGAGGGGCAGAGCCCTGGAGCTGGGTACTGGAGACCTCTAGTGCTGGGTCCTGTGACTTCCATCCAGGTGTGGTGCTGAGAAGGGAAGGTTCCCCCCACGCCCCCCTCCATGTCCCACCAGGGTCCCTCTTCTCCCTGCCCTGGCTGGAGCGCATCACAAGTCTCCCTGCGATTTGAGACAAGAGCAGGATCCATGTGTGTATTCAGGAGTGGGTTTTGGGCCGTGGCATGGTCCCCTCTCACTCCCCTGCCCAGACTCCAAAAGGGACCCCTTGGCCTCCAGAACCTACCCCCCACCCACCCTCTGTCCTCACCCTGCAGATCCTGCCCCAGAAGCAGCCAGCACTTCCACGCCAGGGACGCGGCGCTCGGTCCTGGTCAGGAACCCAGGCCACAAAGGCCCGAGGCCCACTTATGAAGAGCTTGACTCCGACTCAGAGGACCTGGACCCCAACCCTGAAGAGCTGGACCCAGTTTGTGAAGACCCAGAAGACATCAACACCGTCTCTGAAGATGTGGACCCCAGCTATGAAGATCTGGAGCCCGTCTCTGAGGACCTGGACCCCGCCGCCGAAGCTCCGAGCTCCATCTCAGCCACCCGTGACTCGGATCCCCAAGATCTCGACCCCATGTCTTCAAGTTTCGACCTCGATCCAGATGTCATCGGCCCGGTCCCCCTGGTTCTTGACCCTAACAACGACACCCTCGGCCCCACCGAGTCCCCAGACCCGGACCCCCTCTCATCCAGCCTCACTGCCACGCCCGAGGTCCTGGCCACCAGCCCCGCGGTGCTCCCTGCACCTGCCAGCCCGCCGCGGCCCTTCTCCTGCCCCGACTGCGGGCGAGCCTTCCGCCGCAGCTCGGGGCTGAGCCAGCACCGCCGCACCCACAGCGGCGAGAAGCCGTACCGCTGCCCCGACTGCGGCAAGTCGTTCAGCCACGGCGCCACGCTGGCCCAGCACCGCGGCATCCACACGGGCGCGCGGCCCTACCAGTGCGCCGCCTGCGGCAAAGCCTTCGGCTGGCGCTCCACGCTGCTGAAGCACCGCAGCAGCCACAGCGGCGAGAAGCCGCACCACTGCCCGGTGTGCGGCAAGGCCTTCGGGCACGGCTCGCTGCTGGCGCAGCACCTGCGCACGCACGGCGGCCCGCGGCCGCACAAGTGCCCCGTGTGCGCCAAGGGCTTCGGGCAGGGCTCGGCGCTGCTGAAGCACCTGCGCACGCACACCGGCGAGCGGCCGTACCCGTGCCCGCAGTGCGGCAAGGCCTTCGGCCAGAGCTCGGCGCTGCTGCAGCACCAGCGCACGCACACGGCCGAGCGCCCGTACCGCTGTCCCCACTGCGGGAAGGCCTTCGGCCAGAGCTCCAACTTGCAGCACCACCTGCGCATCCACACGGGCGAGCGGCCCTACGCCTGTCCCCACTGCTCCAAGGCCTTCGGCCAGAGCTCCGCGCTGCTGCAGCACCTGCACGTGCATTCCGGAGAGCGCCCCTACCGCTGCCAGCTCTGCGGCAAGGCCTTTGGCCAAGCCTCCAGCCTCACCAAGCACAAGCGGGTGCATGAGGGCGCGGCTGCGGCCGCCGCCGCCGCCGCCGCCGCCGCTGCCGCCGCCGCCGCGGGCCTCGGCCTCAGTCCTGCCTCCATGTTGAGGCCGGGGCAGGTCTCCCTCCTGGGTCCTGATGCTGTCTCTGTTCTCGGCTCTGGCCTGGGCCTCAGCCCGGGCCCCAGCTCTGGCCTGGGCTCTGACCCTGGCTCCGTGGTGGGCTCCCTCCCTAATCCCAGCCCCAAAGCTGTCTCTGGCTCCGAATCTACCCCCACCCCTGATTCTGTCCAATCTGACCCTAAGCCTGGTCCCGACGCCAATCCTGACCTCGTGGCCAGCCCTGAGCAAGGATCTGGTCCCAGCCCTGACCGGGGGCCCGTGCCCAGCCCCGACCCCAACCCTGAGCCTCACCCTGACCCCTGCTCTCCCACCCATGATACTGTCAGTCCGGCCCTCCCTACTGGCGAGAGTCCTGAGTGGGTGCAGGAGCAAGGGGCACTGCTGGGGCCCGATGGCTGAAGTGGACGCCAACACTCATGGGGGGCCTGGGGAAGTTGTGTGTCATGCAGTTTAGTAAAATCCTCCCACTGCCTCCTGGCTCTGTGTTGTGTGGCTTGCCTGTTTCGCTTTCCTCTAATGCACACCCCCTTCCTCAGGAGATGGGAGGGTGTGGTCGGTGCCAGCCATAGCTGGAACCCCAATGTCCTGACTCCACCCTAATCCTGCAGGCTTCCCAGTTCCCCAACAAGGTCTCACACTGGTCCCTCCCAGCAGTTAACACTCTGCTCCCCCAGGCCTGGCCACCCTAGTCATGGGCAGACTTCCCCTGCAGGTGGTCTGAGCAGGATCCCTTCCCTTTGGCTTTTCTATGAGTGGTGGAATTTCTGGCATGTTCACAGTCTAGTGGGCTGATAATGGAGACTGATATGAGACCCTGCAGGCAGCCCTACCCATCTGCTCACATAACCTACTCCTTGTCCTTCACAGCCCAGGTTATAGGCACTGCACTGGACAGAAGAGGTTGCTCATTTATGTGCTGAACAAAAATCTATTGATTGCTGGGGTCTCAGCCGGGGACAAGATAAGCACGGCCTTCACAGAACTCACAGATGCCAAGCTCAGGAACATTTAAGGAGTTACAGGGTATATAGTTCATTCTAAGAGAAGCCTAACAAGACGTTTTTCCCCCCACACATCAGACAGGTAACGTGCTGAGGAGGTAACAAGGTTTGGGAGAGACACATCTCACACAACGGCATGAACACTCAGTCATCACGCTCATGGTCCACAAAAGGATCAAGAGCTCTGATTTAGGTGGGGGGGACTGCTTTCCCCAGGAGGGATTCCATAATCCCAATAACCACTACTTTAATTGTCAGTACTGTTTGCCCAGCCTTGTGCAGTGCTCTTGCATTTTGCGCTCTTGCATTTTCTCATTTAATCCAACAGCTCCAAGGGGCAGGTAACTATGACTAAGTATCCCCATTTTGCAAATGAATAAACGTGGAGTTTAAGGGACTTTTTTTTTTTTTTTAATAAAGACTTTATTTGTGAGAGACAGAGAGAGCACAGGCAGGGGGAGCGGCAGGCAGAGGGAAAAGCAGCCTCCCCATGAAGCAAGGAGACCGATGCGGGACTCGATCCCGGGATCATGACCCAAGCCAAAGGCAGACGCTTCACCGACTGAGCCACCCAGGCATCCCTTGAGCCACCCAGGCATCCCTTGAGCCACCCAGGCATCCCCAAGGGACTCTTTGGAAGATGTAGAAGTGGCAGTTGGCCGGGCCTAGATTTAATCTAAACTGTTTGTTCTCCAGAGTTTGCGTAATTAACCAGCATTCTTTTCAAAGCAAGAGTGCAAAGGCCCTGGGGCCCTTGAGCGGTCAGCCCGGGGAGATGCGGGCCAGAACAGAGGGCTCTGGTAGACTGAGGTCAGAGTTCGCTTGTCATCCCAGAGCAATGGGAAGACAGCAGGTTGCAGCAGAGGGCTGATAGGAACTACTCTTGGAAAATGCTTCTGGCTGCTGCCTGGGGAGTGTAACTGGAGAGGGTCAGGAGTGGGAGCCTCAGGTCAGGGAGGAGGTTGCTGCCAGGAGGAGGCCAGGAATGATGGAGGACTCTGGGCTGAGGGCCACAGGAGTGGGGATGAGTTGGTCCTACTTGGGACATACTTAGGAAATGGAATAGGATTTGCTGACAGTTCAGACGAGAGGAGCAGAAGCGGAAAGAGTTGAGAGTAACCACGGGGTTTCTGGGAGGATGGAGAGGCAGCCATGAGACAGGACGTCTGGTCATCACCGGACTCTGCGGAGGGTAAGGGGTCAAGCACTGAATATGGAACTCTGGAATTTGGCACGGGACGCGGGCATGACAGGGAGCCAGGGCCGAGCCGGCCCTACGCCGGCACTCTCACAGCCAGCCCATCCCCCAGCACATCGATCGCCCGCGGGCGTTAGGACCTCAGGGCCGCCCTCCGCCCGCATGGAGCTAGTTGAGGCCCGCATGCGTGCTGCGGCCGCCGGGCCTGTCGTGGCGCAGGGGGTGGGACGGGATCCGGTCACGTGCGCCTCCCGGGGGCGCTCTGGTCACGTGACCGCGGCGGGAGTCAGCTGACGCGAGAGGGTTTGAAGCGGCACCGCGAGGGAGCGAGGCCGCTGCAGCGGCGGCGGGCGCCCGGACCCCGGCTGCCCGGCGGTGTCCGGCGGCGTCCGGCGCTCCCGGCCCCGGCATGGCAGCCCCCGTGGGCCGGCGGGGCTCAGGTGAGGGCGCGCGCGGCCCCGCGGGCCCCCGAACGCGGGCGGCGGGCGGGCGGCCAGCTCCCCGGACCTGGCGCGGCGGAGCTCCCGGTTTCCCGTGCCTAAACTCTGGTGCTGACCTCTCAGCTTCCCGGTGGTGAAGATAGGGACAGATGGCTCCTAGAACCTGGGCGGCAGGTGGGCGCCCGCTCCTCCGACCTCGGAGTGGCGGGACTCCTGTGTGCTCTTCCTGGACCCAGGTTCTGCTCAGAGTTCCTAAACTCAGGCAGCGGGTGGGCCGCCGGCCTCTCCAGCTCGGGCCCGGGAGGTGTCCGGGGCTTGCGTTCTGAGCGTTGTTCCGATTGCTCAGCGTTGCTGGACCTCAGCGGGCACCGGCTTCTCCAGCCCTCACGTGAAACTCCCAGGATTCCCTTCCCCAATTCTTGAGGCAGTGCTCAGCTTCTCTAAACTCAGATAGAGGGCTGGGGGGTGGGGGGGAGTTACCTCCTTGAACCCAGGCGCCTAACTCGATCTCATAAGTCCAAACCTGTGGAAGCTCAGCTTTCTTGAACTCAAGCGGTGGAAACCCAGCCTCTAGTCTCTTCAGTCTCTGCTTCTGATGGGGGAGCCTGGAGGAAGACTCGTTGTGTTGGTCTTCCCTTCTTGAGCTAGCTGGAGATACCTGAAAGCTGTCCCTGCTCGTACGGTCTGGGGTGGGTTAACTGAGATCCCAGCTAGGGAGGCGGGCCTGCCCTCTGGCTTCCCACCCAGCTATCTTGTAAACAACCACAACAGCATCCAAGCTCCAAAGGGACAGGCCAGGAGCTGGCTCTCCCTGCAGGACAGGTTCTGACAGTGCTCACATTCGCCCTGGCAGCTGTGTTAGGCAGGCGCGGGCCAGGCCCTGGAAAGAAGCAGGGTTCTCCCGGTGGGGGTGGTGGGGGTGTGTCAGGGACGCTCCTGGGCTGCTGTGACCAGCTGTGACCCCAGCGGTTGATGAAACCTTGGACCTTTCTCTTAAGTTGTTCAGGAGTGAAGAGAATAAGTAGTGTTAAGAGTAAAGCCGATTTTTGGGCGCCTGGGTGGCTCAGATGGTTAAGCGTCTGCTTTCCCACTCAGGTCACGATCCCAGGGTCCTGGGATCGAGTCCCGCATCGGGCTCCCTGCTCAGCGGGGAGCCTGCTTCTCCCTCTGCCTCTCTCTCTCTCTCTGTCTCTTATGAATAAATAAAATCTTGAAAAAAAAGGAAAAAAGAATAAACCCTATTTTCTGAAGAATTACCAAGACTTGGAGGCTGAACTGAGGCTTTTAACTGCTTTATCCCGCTTCATTCAGAGAACACCTTTCAGATTTTCAACCTCAGGGTAGATTTTTTTTTTTTTTTAAGATTTTATTTTTAAGTAATCTCTACACCCAAGGTGGGGCTCAAGATCAAGAGTCGCATGCCCTTCCCACTAACCAGCCAGGCGCCCCATCCAGGTAGACTTTTTATTTCCACTTTTCAAATGAGAAGATGGAGGCTTTGAAAGATGACCAGGATCCCCCCAACTGGGAAGTGGCAGGTCTGGGATTTGGTTCTAGGGCTGTGAGAGTTCCAGAAGCTGGTGCCCTTCATGAAGATGCTATATTAGCTCATGAGCTAACATACAGGCAGTGTGGTAATAACACCCATTGGCTTGTAGTGAGTCTTCAGCAAATATGTTCTGTTATTGTTACTGTTGTTGTCGATCTCCCCTTCTCTGGGCCTGGGGCTTGTGAGGGTGTCAGCTGGATGGGCCAGGTCATGATGAGTGGAAAAATCCTTCTTTGGATGTTTGACCAGAAAAAAACTGGAATGTAGCTGAGCTCCATGCTCATACCTGGAGGCTGGAGTTGAGATGAGCTCTGGAGCCTTGAGTGCCCTGTGGGAAGCCAGTGGAATCAATTCGTTCTCTTCCCAAAATCCACAACTGGAACAACGATGGAATGTTCTGACATTCTTACCACAAGCCAGCCCCTGTGATAAATGTTTTGTAAGCATCAAATCCTCAACTTCCTGGTGAGAGGTGTTTTTGTCCTGTTCTGCAGATGAGAAAGCTGAGGCTCAGAGGCAGAGTGCCCTGCCCAAGCCAGTGAGAAGCAGGGTCAGGAATCAGCTCAGGCCCTTTTGAACCCCAAATCCAAATTTGTAACCTCTGATAGGACTGCTACATATATCCACAACATGTTGCAGATTTTCTGGGTTTTCTTAGATCTCTCAGAGTTCTTTGGCTGGTGCATGGGACCTGTTTCTCCTGATGGCAGGTGGGTCTGCCTGGGCCTGGTCCCCACCGCCCTCCCCCATTCCTGCAGAGACTGAGCGGCTCCTAACCCCCAGTCCTGGGTATGGCACCCAGGCCGGGGCTTCCCCGGTCCCTCCGGAAGAGGAGGACCTCCGCCGCCGGCTCAAGTACTTCTTCATGAGTCCCTGTGACAAATTTCGGGCCAAAGGCCGCAAGCCCTTCAAGCTGATGCTGCAAGTCGTGAAGATCTTAGTGGTCACCGTGCAGGTGAGTCCTGCAGGGGCCCCAGCAGAACACCACCTGTGGCCGCTGCTGTGTCTGGAGTCGGAACCTAGTCCAAGCCCTGCAGCAACATAGGAACAGTGGCAATGGCTGTAATCATTCGGGAAGCCCTCTAAGATCTGTGGTGGGAACAGCTCCTTGTAACCTCACAGATGCCCTTTGAGGTCCTGGCAACCGCTGTTGCCACCATTTTATAGATGAGGCAGCTGAGGCTCAGAGAGGTTAAGGGACTTGTCCAAAGTCAAACAGCAACCAAGCATGGGGAGCTGGCGCTTGAACCCAGGCAGTCTGATGCCGTGTTCACTCTCAAAGAGAACTGACCCAGTGGCTGAGCAGACAGTTGCTGACCCCTCATCCCAGGCCTTGTGGTGGGCTTTGGGGACCCCAAGGTGAATCAGAGCCAGCGCCTGCCCTAAGGAGCCTCTGGCCTCACGCTGTGATTCAGGGTATATTAGGATACTTCGGGTTTCCTTTCGGTAAAAGGACCCAACAGTGGTGCTTACCCTGTAGGTTTGGGTTTAGCACGGAACCTAGCACCTGGTAAACATCTAATGAACACTAGCCTCTGTTGTCATGAGAGACGTGAGCATCCGCTGTGTGTTGCTCCCTGGGGACTTATGGTGGGCATTCCTTGTGCCCCGCATTGTCATCTCCGCTCCCGCCCTCCCCAGCTCATCCTGTTCGGGCTCAGCAACCAGCTGGCAGTGACATTCCGGGAGGAGAACACCATTGCCTTCCGGCACCTCTTCCTGCTGGGCTACTCGGATGGGGCCGATGACACCTTCGCGGCCTACACACGGGAACAGCTCTACCAGGCCATCTTCCATGCTGTAGACCAGGTGCGGGCAACCAGGGGCAGGCAGGCAAGTGGGCAGGCAGGCAGTCAGGGGAGAGTGGGCAGGGCTGACGGACCCTCCCCTTCTCTGCCCACAGTACCTGATGCTCCCTGATGTGTCGCTAGGCCGGTATGCCTACGTGCGGGGCGGGGGTGGCCCCTGGGCCAACGGCTCGGCCCTGGCCCTCTGTCAGCAGTACTACCACCGAGGCCACGTGGACCCAGCCAATGACACCTTTGACATTGATCCCATGGTTGTCACTGGTGAGTAGGCAGGGCAGGGCATAACTGTTGGTAGCACTGGCTGCTGGAATTAAAACCCCAGTTCTGCTTCCCATTCATCTGGCAGATAGGGTTGTCCTGGTCGTTAATAACTTGATGTTTGCAGTGTCTTTGGTAGAATGCTTGGCGTGCAGAAAAATGCAAGTGTTGTGTTTTTTTTTTTTTTAAAGATTTTATTTAGTTACTTGACAGAGAGAGAGAGCACAAGCAGGGGGAGTGGCAGGGAGAGGGAGAAGCAGGCTTCCCGCTGAGCAGGGGGGCCCGACGCGGGGCTCGATCCCAGGACCCTGCGATCATGACCTGAGCCGAAGGCAGCCGCTTAACGGACTGAGCCACCCAGGCGCCCCAAGTGTTGTGTTTTAATATCGTTAATTCACTAAGCATTTGGGGGCCCACTGAGCGCCAGGCCCTCGGGCCTGTGTAGGCAATAAGACGAACTGGGCCCTCTCCAGGGGAGACAGTGGGGAACAGATGACAAATGTTAAGTTCATAGTGGGACGTGAAGGAGGGAAGGGGGCTGCTGGGGACTCTGGGGAGACCTGCCTGTGCCTCTCCCGCCCCCAGTGTCCCTTCCCTGACTCCCTGTCCTCAGACTGCATCCAGGTGGACCCCCCTGAGAGACCCCTTGTGCCCCCCAGTGATGATCTCTCCCTCTCGGACAGCAGCGCCAGTTACAAGAACCTCACGCTCAAATTCCACAAGTACTGCCTGATGGAGGGGCCGCCAGGGCTGGGCCGAGGGTTGGGGGAGGCAGGATGCCAGGCATCCTTGGCCACCCCCCACCGGCGGGGACAGAGAAAGACCATGCTGATGCCTGTGTGTGAGCACTTCCTCTGCAAGCTGCAGAGTCAACGTGGGGCAGGAGCGCTGCGGTGGGGGGCGGGGGGCGGCAGGAGGGACCAGCAGAGCCCCTCTCCCTCACCGAAGCTTCCCTCCCAGGCTGATCAACGTCACCATCCACTTCCAGCTGAAGACCATCAATCTTCAGAGCCTGATCAACAATGAAATTCCTGATTGCTACACCTTCAGTGTCCTGGTAAGCCCAGTGTCCAGGACAAGGGGGGCAGGCGCTCCAGTGATAAGGGTTGCCCACAGGGCTCCTGAGCTCCGGGGCTGGGGACCCTTGGCCAAGGGCAGCTTAGGGGTAATAAGGGAGATGGGGCCAGACAGACCATCCATTATGCGGGTCTGGGAGCCTGAGTCTGCCAAGGTTTACTCTGGCCTTTCCTGCCCTGCCATACCCCTGCAGATCACTTTCGACAATAAGGCGCACAGTGGGCGTATCCCAATCAGTCTGGAGACCCAGGCCCACATCCAGGAGTGTAAACACCCCAGCGTCTTCAGGCATGGTGAGCCCCGAACCCCCAGACCCATGCTAGCAGGGGCCCTGACCTGCCCGGGGATCCCCCAAGCCCCAGACCAGCACGGGCCCAGTTCCTGATTCATCCAGGTAACCCATAAGCCCACTGAGTAGCCACCACCAGTCCTGCAGCCCTCTAGGCCTGGGCCTAGCCCCATCCCTAGTCTCCCAAGGCCCCAAGCCACTCCCGGCCCTACCCAAGTCCTCTCCCCACAGGAGACAACAGCTTCCGGCTCCTGTTCGATGTGGTCGTGATCCTCACCTGCTCCTTCTCTTTCCTGCTGTGTGCCCGCTCGCTGCTGCGTGGCTTTCTGCTGCAGAACGTGAGAGCTGCGTCCAGTGGCACGCATGTGTGCCTGAGCCAGCCTCTCCTGGCTCGGGGGCCATAGGGCCGGGGGAGAGAGGGTCCCTCGCCCGGGCCAGCCCTCAGCCCACCTGCTTCCTACAGGAGTTTGTTGGGTTCATGTGGCGGCAGCGGGGACGGGTCATCAGCCTCTGGGATCGGCTAGAATTTGTCAATGGCTGGTACATCCTGCTGGTCACCAGCGATGTGCTCACCATCTCGGGCACCATCATGAAGATTGGCATTGAAGCCAAGGTGGGTCCTGCCCAGGGCCCTGTTGACTTGTTCCAGGCCTTGGTCCCTTATACCACCTCCCCGGCATACCCCTCCCATACCTGCCTGGGGCCACAGCCCCTGGGAAGAGCCAGGCCAGGTGGGGTTGACACTGCTGCTGTCCCTAGAACCTGGCGAGCTACGACGTCTGCAGCATTCTCCTGGGCACCTCCACGTTGCTCGTCTGGGTCGGCGTCATCCGCTATCTGACCTTCTTCCATAAGTACAATGTAAGCTTCGAATGTGCAGGCTGGACCCTCCAGGTGGTGGCCGTACGCTCCCCACTTCTCACTTTCTTGCCCCGGATAAATACATACACCTGTAGCCATCACCAGCCTCTATAGATGGCCTGTCACGAGCCTCTTCCCCGTACCTGCCCACCCCAGATGTACCTGTCCCTGCCCCCAAACCAGAGCCATGGGAGCCTGCTGCTTCATGCCACCCAGCTCAGTCTGGCCAGGGGGTATCCTCAGGTCCCCTGCACCCCCCCCCAAACTACCTCCAGCTTCTGTGGCCACTCTGGTGTGACTTCAGCCAGGCACTGCCTGCTTCCCTCCCATTCGCAAGGCCAACCTAGGTTGTGGCCACACCCTCATCGAGGCCTCCCCATCTCCCTGCCACAGATTCTCATTGCCACACTGCGGGTGGCCCTGCCCAGCGTCATGCGTTTCTGCTGTTGTGTGGCTGTCATCTACTTGGGCTATTGCTTCTGTGGCTGGATCGTGTTGGGCCCCTACCATGTGAAGGTAGGGGCTGTCCAGGGCGTGGTGCTCATGACCCACAGTCAAGGGGTTCCTGTCTCCCCTCTCCAAGCCCACTGCTAAACCCTCTGACCCCTGGTCTATTGACTGTTGATCTGGGCACCCTGAACAGCCCACCTTGACCCCTGGTACCTTACCAGGAGGTCTCCAGCAGTTCTGCCCATTGTTCCCTCTGACTCCCTGTGAACCCACCCCATCCCCAGCCCGCAGTTGCACCCACGGTCCTTCTGACCCCACAACCCCACTGCCCTGCTGGCAGTTTCGCTCGCTGTCCATGGTGTCGGAGTGCCTGTTCTCGCTCATCAATGGGGACGACATGTTCGTGACGTTTGCCGCAATGCAGGCTCAGCAGGGCCGAAGCAGCCTCGTCTGGCTGTTCTCCCAGCTCTACCTCTACTCCTTCATCAGCCTCTTCATCTACATGGTGCTGAGCCTGTTCATCGCGCTCATCACTGGAGCCTACGACACCATCAAGGTCAGCCCCGGCCCGCATGCCCTTCCCCAGCCTGTCTCCATGGGGGGCCAACCCTCACGTACATACAGCCCTGAACCTTGGGCTCCAGGGCCCTTGGAGTTGGCCCCAGCAGGGTCTCAGGGGATGTGGTGCAGGGTGAGGAGGGAAGGACCCAGGGAAAGAAGGTGGGAGACTCTGAGAAGCCAGAAGAGAGGTGGCTGGGGGTCGGGGGTGGGGGGAGGTGTGCTGATCACAGCTGCCACATTCTCGGTTTTATCAAGGTGGGGCTCTGGCCAGGTAAGGTTCCTGTGTCTGCTTTTACCAACAGGGAAACCAGGCTGTAGAGTTTTAGTGACTTCCCTGAGGTCAGCTACTAAGTGGTCGAGCCAGGCTCAACCCAGGACTGTGTGTTTCCGGAAGTCCTGATCCTCACCCTCCCATCCTGTAGGGTGGCCTGGGTGGGAGCTCTGGGTCCAGGGAATGGTGGTGGTTCTGCAGGCTGCAGGGGTCAGAGGAGAGGGGTTGGAGTAGAATGTGAGAGGCAGGTAGACACAATTCTTTTAGCAGACGTGTCTGAGGGTCCTGTGCTGGGTATCTAGGAAACATGGTATATACAGGCTATCCCAGAGCAGTAGGCAAGATGGATGATCCATGAACAGAACTGGGATGACCCAACTGGTGAGAGGGATGAAGGTTACAAAAGGATCCCCTGCTTTAGACTCGTATTGGGGTGAGTCCAGGGAAGTTTCTAGAATGTGCTAATACTGGTCCTAGCCACATGTAACTATTTAAATTTTGACTTTAATTGAAATGAAATACAATTCCACATTCAGTTCCTCACTCACACCACCTGTCAAGTGCCCAAAGGCTAACGTGGCTAGTGACGACCAGATTGGACAGCACAGATGGCAGACCTTTCCTTCGTCTTAGAAACTTCTGGATCGACAAGACGGGAGTCCAAGAGAGAGCACCAGGGAGAAGGAACAGCCAGAGCAAAGGCCCAGTAGCCAGAAAGGACTTGGGGATGAGATGATGGCTTCTCTACCAGGTTGGGAGGGGTGAAGGCTCTGCGGAAAGCCAGTGTTTTGCTGGGGATGCAGGGGTGCACCCCCCCCCAAGCATGGATACAGTCATCCCACAGATACACTCCTGTCACTCGGGTCCAAGGAGCCCCCCCGGGTCTTGCTCTAGCACCTAGATGTCACACGTGTGTATCAGCCTTGGATATAAAGCGCAGACCTTGCTCCTGCCGTGTGCACCCACTCAGTAGATGTGCCCATGCAGGCACCCTGCTTGTGTCCGGTATGGCTCCGGGTGCTGGGGCAGCGGCAGAGGGCACCAACTGACCGAGATGCGGGACGTGCACATACTCAGGGGCCAGGCAGTGTCTCCCGGGGAAGCAAACCCCGAGGAGTGACAGGTGGAGGGAACCTCAAGTGCAAAGGGGTGGTGGGGGTGGGGAGCTTGGCTGGTGGCTGAGTCACAGGGAGGAGATCTCGCTGGCTGGCTGCCTGGCGAGGAGGTGGTGGGGAGGGCAAACCTCAAAGGGGCCACCCCGCATTTCTCCCCAGCACCCAGGCGGTGCTGGCGCAGAGGAGAGCGAGCTCCAGGCCTACATTGCTCAGTGCCAGGACAGCCCCACCTCCGGCAAGTTCCGCCGCGGGAGCGGCTCGGCCTGCAGCCTCCTCTGCTGCTGCGGCAGGTTCGAGCTAGGGATTGGGGGCTGGGGACAGGGAGCGTGCTCGAGGGAACTGCTGCCTTCCGCCCCGGCTGACAGGCTGCTTGCTACTGCCTCTCCTCCAGGGACGCCTCGGAGGAGCATTCGCTGCTGGTGAATTGACTCGGACCCGCCACTGCTACTGGACATTAGCCCTCCGACTGCGGAGACTCACGCTTATTTATTTTTAGGGTTTGCTTTTAAGGACCGGTTCCCTGCTGCGCCCTGAGGACCTGGCCCAGTCGGGTCGGACACGGGTGGGACAGGGCTGGGTGGGTGTTAAATAAACGGGAAAATAAACTTGTTCTCGTTTCTAGCGGGAGGGGCGTTCCCTGCGCTAGTCGGTTTCGGCCCCTTTAAGGCGTCGTCCAACAGCGCGGCGGGCGGTGCGAGACCTTACACACGTGGGGGGGCGGGGCTGCAGCGCGGTTTACGCGAATAATTTAAAGGGGCCGCGCCCGAGGCGCTGGACGGAAAGCTACTGGTGTTGGCGCAGCGTGGACCCCGGCTGCGGCCCGGTGGGTGAGTCCGGGTTTTCGTCGCCCCCGCAGAGGCGTCCCTTCGGGGGTCGTTAGCGAGTCTTCGGCTTTCCCAAGATCTGCCCTCCTTTGGCCGGTAGCTCCCGACTCTCTGATGCTCCCATTCCCCCGCCCCCCCCCAGTTACTGGCAGGTGTTTCCGCGCCGGTAGCCAGGTGCGCGCTAGGGAGGAAGAGTAGTCTTCCCCATGAATTTTCCAGGTAATACCTCCAGGGCCCAGTGACTCCCCCAAATTTCCGTTAGCACTCCAGCGTTGCCAGAAATATTCTCAGGTTTCCAGAAAAGTCCCAGTAATATTCCAGCATTCATTCCTAGCCGGCTCTTGCTCAAACGACCCCAGGGACGTGCTCACCCACTTCCCAGTTTTCCCAGGAATAGTGCTGTATTCCTGAGAATCTCTCAGTAACTTTACAGTGATCCCCAGTAATTCCAGCGTCCCTGGTTACGTCTCCCAGTAATGGCGCCAGCATCGTTCCGAGAGTCCCAGTGATGCTTCACACTGTCAGAGACCCTGTAACTTTACTAATGCGTGACTGTAAATCTAGCATCACAGTAACACCTTGCGAATCCGCCCCACTCCGAGCGTCCCGGGATTCCTCCGAGACCTCCGCAACGCCCCAGGATCCCTTGGGTGGGAGTTTCCAGCAGCACTCCCGAGCGCCCCCCGCCCGTGGGTCTCCCCAGGGGCAGGTTTGGGTCAGAAGTCAGGCGACCCCGTGGCTTGAAGGCCCCAGTTTCCCTGGGGTTGGGGCATCCAGTCTTCGCAGAGGGGTGCGGCCTTGGGTCTGCCGGGTCAGGATTGATCAATCCCTCAGGGCGGAGGCTAGGAGGAGGCCACTTGCGGGAGGAAGGCGGGCTCTTTGGGGACCCGTGCGCACGCTGCTGACTGTGGGTGTCCGGCCGGCTGCCCTTTGGCCCCAGGGTGGGGCTGTACCCGTGGGGCGTCTGGTCGGCTGGGCGTGTGGGTGAAGGGAGCCAGGGACGCGCCTTACTCCCTAGCCCGGGCGTCGAGGTCAACCTGCACCACCTTTCTGCTCTGCAGCGCCCCACCAGCCGTCCCCTGGCCAGCGAAGCCATCCAGGCGGCGAGTACGAAGGGGGCAAGGCTCGAGGTAGGGGTAGGGGAGAGGCGGCCCCAGAGTGACGACTTGCACCGGTTCCTCCTGCTTCTTATTCCCCAGGATTCCGGGCTACCAGACCTCCGCCCAGTCTGAAGCAACTGATGGAGGCTCCGTTGCAAACGGGAATGGTAAAGATTGCTTTGTGAGGCGCTGTGGGGACTACGATTCCCGAAATGCTTAGCGCTCATCGCGGTCCCGCGAGAACTGTTCAGGCGGAACTACGTTTCCCGGCGTGCACCGCGGGCCGCGGAGCCGCCGGAAAGAGTTGCGCCCCCGGGGAGGGAGCAGCGGCGGCCCATTCTGCAGATGGGGACGTCGAGGCACGGGCCGATCGTGACCTCCTCGGGGGCGGCGGACTTGACCGAATGGGATGGGGACGGGGGCGTCCCGGCCTCCGGGGAGGGCTCGGCAGGCCGGGTATGCGATGCGCAGCCAGTGCCATTCGTCCCGCAGGTGCTGGGCGTGATGATTGGGGCCGGAGTCGCGGTGCTGGTCACTGCAGTGCTCATCCTCCTGCTGGTGCGGAGGCTCCGAGTGCCGAGTGAGGACCCGGAGGGCCCCTCCGGGGAGGCTGCGGAGTGGGGAGCTGAAATGCCCGGGTTCCTGAGGCAGTAGAGATGGGACTTAACGGGAGTCTGCACGCAGTGCCCTCCTCTCTGGCCGTGTGGAGTCTGCGCAGGGCTCAGAGTGCTTCTCTCCCCACTTATCCCCAGAAACGCCAGCACCGGATGGCCCCCGGTATCGATTCCGGAAGAGGGACAAAGTGCTCTTCTATGGTCGGAAAATTATGCGGAAGGTGAGCTTAGGACCCCCCGGGGTCCCCGCTGAACACACAGAGGTTCTGCCCTTTCCTTTTTACTCGTTTTAGTAAGTCCGTTTTCCTTGGCTAGGGTTCTCTGGATCTGGCCCCTTCTTCCCTTGCTCTGAATTGGCAGTTCACCCATCCCCCATCCTTACTTCTCCTAGGTATCACAGTCCACTTCCTCCCTGGTGGACGCTTCTGTCTGCACCACTTCCCGGCCACGCATGAAGAAGAAACTTAAGATGCTCAACATTGCCAAGAAGTAAGGCTGTACTGGGTGTACCTGGCACTGGGGGCTATCTCAGGGACCCTTTGAGTAATCAGCCCACACCAAAGGGTGTATCTAAGGGTTCTTTGAGCTGCACGGACTGTTTGGGGAGTCTTCCCACATTAGAGGGGCTATCTCAGAACTCTCGCACACTAGACAGGCGGGCTCTGAGAACATCTCAGCGAGGTTCCCCCTACCACGGGGTGTTTGTGAGTCAGTCAGTATCTTGGACGCTTTGTAATAATAGGGTTAGGGGTCTCCGTCTGGGCTCTCCATGTAGGCCAGTTCATGGGTCTCCCCACACAGGAGGTGATTCATTGGCGTTAACTCAGGTGTTTCTGTGATCTCCTGGAGGGGCTATCTCTAGCTTCTGTTTTGTAGGGGTTATCTCAGCAATCTCTACGTCAGAAAGCATCTCTCTATGTCACCTACCCTGGAGTTCTTCCTACACTAAGGAGGCTATCTTAGGCGTTTCTGTTTCCTAGGAGTCATTTCGAGAATCTTCTTGCTCTAAGAAACATAGGAAGGACATCCCAGGGCTTCATGCCATCAGCAAAGGGCTATCTCAGAGTCTCTGAGAAAGGCTTTCCCAGGGATCTTTCTAAGTTGGAAGCTGGCTGTGAGGTTGGTCTCCAGACATCATGGAATGTACTTGAAGGTCTGTCTCAAGGGTGTCTTCACACTAAGGGCTCTCCCACTGAGGGTGTCATCCTAGGGCTGTCCATGATCAGCAGATGTGTCATCGCGTGGCTTTTTGTGACTTCGGTAGAAGGGCTAGCTCTAGAGCCTCTATGATCAGTTGAGGGTCTGTATGTCCTGTCTCTGTATGTCACGGGGGTTGTGTCAATGTGTGCATACCCTCGAGGAGCTACACTGATGTTTTCATGACCTTCAGGGGGCTATCTCCGCTCTCTCTGAACTGGGCAAGGGCTAGCCTAAGATCTGTTTGATCAGAAAAGGAACCATATCTGGATTTCTCTATATCGTGCAATTTAATTCAGGAGTCTGCTTATCCTAGAGGGTCCTATCTCAGGGGGCTTGTGACCGGGAGGGGGCTGTCTCAGTAGTACCTGTGACTTGCAGGGAAGGGCTCTTCTGGGTCTATGAGTAGCAGAGAGCACTATCTGTGCTCTCCACATACAATGAGAGCTATTTCAGGAGTCTTTGTGACCATCGAAGGGATCATCTCAGGGTTCTCTGAGATCTGGAAGGAAAGGCCAGCTCAGGGAGCTTTACAAAGGCCGAGCAGCTGATGGGGTCTCCTCGTATGATGGAAGCTACCCCAGAGCTCTTCGTGTGTTGGGGAGGCTATCTCCGGGTCCAGTCTGTGCTAGGAAGGAAGGTCTCAGGGGTCCCATGATGAATGGAGGTGTAGTTTCTGGGGTCAGGCTGTATTTTATGCCAGGGGTCTGCCTAACTACAGGGTCCATTTCAGGAGCTTATGATTAGCAAAGAGGCAATCTTAGGATTTTACATCAGAGGACAACAAATTTTTTTGTAAGGGGTCAGATCAGTAAACATCTTAGGCTTTGCAGGCTGTATGACTGTGTTACAATTTTTCAGCATTGTCGTTGAGTGAAAGCAGCCACGGGTAACGTGTAAATGAATGAATATGGTTGTGTGCCAATAAAACTTTATTTACGTAAGTAGGTAGTGGACCAGAGTTTGCTGACTCCTGTTCTTTGTGATTTAGAGGAAAGGCTATGTGGGAGTCTTCAGGTCTGCCCGAGCCCTCTCCCTACCTGCCCCCTGCACCCCTCTCTTCCCCCCAGGATCCTTCGTATCCAGAAAGAGGCACCAACACTGCAACGGAAGGAGCCCCCGCCTGCAGTGCTCGAGGCTGACTTGACGGAGGGTGACCTGGCTAACTCCCACCTGCCCTCCGAGGTGCTCTACATGCTCAAGAATGTCCGGTCAGTGTTGGGGTGCAGGTGCGGGGCGGCTGCAGAGTTGGGGGGCTCACCTGACCTCCTGCATTCCTCCCCCTCTCTGCCCCATCCAATAGGGTGCTGGGCCACTTCGAGAAGCCTCTCTTCCTGGAGCTCTGCCGACACATGGTCTTCCAGCGGCTCAGCCAGGGGGACTATGTCTTCCGGCCAGGCCAGCCGGACGCCAGTATCTACGTGGTGCAGGATGGGCTGCTGGAGCTCTGTCTGCCAGGGCCGGTGAGCGGACCAATCGTGGGGTACCACGGGGGGATGGGCAGTGGGGACTGGGATGGGCGTTGCTGTCGGTCAGCGGGGCTCACGGACTTTTGAGATGCGCAGGCAGAAGTTGGGAACAAACACGCAAGGGTGTCGGGTTGGTCTACATGGTCAGCAGTTATGGTTAATGACGGCCAGAAAATGGATACCGGCCAGAGATTTGGTGGGTTTGGGGATCGGGGTGTCAATGATCACTGGGTGGTGAGGTCCAGAGCCAGTGGCATGCTCAGGGGGTGGAATGCCAGTTGGCAGGGGGGGACAGCCCCGGTCAACCCCCCCTCCCCCGCGTCTGTGTGTCTCAGGATGGGAAGGAGTGTGTGGTGAAGGAAGTGGTCCCTGGGGACAGCGTCAACAGCCTTCTGAGCATCCTGGATGTCATCACTG